AAAAAAAAAAAAAAAAAGAAACAAGGACTTTTGAAAATCCATGAAATTAAACCCGATGAAAATTTGCCCCAGGTGGAATGCTCATGTGCTTTTCATCTGGGTGGTAGCTGCCTTTCTACTGAGTTTTCCTCAAGCAAAGAAAGGTTGAGAGAGGAGGCACATAGGGTCATATACATATGGTTCATTCCTGATCATTCTGGATATTAGTAATTCCCCCAAACTTGAATTTCCCCTACTCCATTAAAACAATTATTCTTATTTCATGGGTGTCAAATTGACTTCCTTTTTAACACTTATTAAATCTCAGCATATAGCATTGGTTAAATTTAATGCATTGAGAAATGCAGAAACCTCTGATAAAGCTTTTGAAATCCTATGGAGTATGTGGAAACAACGTTTTGAAAAAAAGACTCTAGAATCATGATGCTATGTCACAGAAGATTCTTCTGAGAAGGATCATCTGATGTCACCCCCTCTAATTTTATAAGTGATAAGGTTTCTTTGCTTTTTACGCTTGTATCTATTCTTCCATCGTAGACTGACCTGGTCATTTCTTTGGAGTGTTTTTTGGTTGATTCAAATCAGTGTCTGCATCTCCAGAGTATTCATAGCAACACATTTTCCTCATCAAGTTATTCTTGGAGTAATTGGTGGTAAATATGATCACTTACCCTTAGTTGTATCCTTTGAAAGCTTTAGCTTCATTAGTTTAAGGCTATTGGATTCTCCCCGGTAATCAGCTTTCCCATTTCAGAGGTAATTCTGTGAAGTCACTGATACTAAATGCTATCCTGGGAGCCAACATGGTGCAACACACTACTCAGCCTCCATGTACAAAGTGGCCCAGGCCCAGTGGTGTAAATGCACAACTCTTTCATGAGGTGGGCTTTTCTGAAGTGAAACTAGAGCTAAGTCTAACTCCCAAACCATCACTTCAGACAGTGTGCTTGTGTCTTGCGTCAGGGAATTTAATGACTCTGTGACCTGCACACTGTGACAATCTCACTGAAACATGTGAAGTGACTATTACATGATTATGGACTCCATTTAGTAGCTGCTTTGTATTCCTGAAGCAGTGTTCAGTATGACTCGGTTCCACTATTCAGTGCCACATTACCTTTCAAAGGCTGATTGGCTATGACAATTGAAATGTTAATTGCTAGTACCTAGATCAGTGCTCTGTCTATAAAGTGGGTTGTCAGTCAGTGCTACCAACTCCAGAATGACCCTTCTGGACTAGTATGAATAATGAAAACACCGTGGGCCCATCTGCCTTTTTAGTTACTGCCTTAAAAAGGCTTTAGAAAATGGATATAACCTCTGTGTCTAACGCCCTTTGTCATTGAAAACTGTGGCAAATTCTTTAGTTCAGAGAGGAATGATCTTCGAGGGGCTTAAGGGCACACAGTCATCATCAGTGTCTCTTTCCAATCCCCAGGCATGCTGGTGGCAGAGGCCTTTGAACATACTCCAAGCATCCAAACGGCCAGCCTGGGCACATACCTGAAGACCAACCTCTTCCTCTTCCTGTTTGCACTTGGCTTTTACCTCCTTCTTAGACTACTCAGCATTGACCTGCTGTGGTCCGTGCCCATAGCCAAAAAGTGGTGTGCCAACCCCGACTGGATCCACATTGACACCACGCCCTTTGCTGGACTAGTGAGAAACCTTGGGGTCCTCTTTGGCTTGGGCTTTGCAATCAACTCGGAGATGTTCCTCATGAGCTGCCGAGGTGGAAAGAGCTACACGCTGAGCTTCCGATTGCTCTGTGCCTTGACCTCGCTGACCACACTGCAGCTCTACCATCTCCTCCAGATCCCGACTCACGAAGAGCATTTATTTTATGTGCTGTCTTTTTGTAAAAGTGCATCCATTCCCCTAACTGTGGTTGCTCTGATTCCCTACTGTGTTCATATGTTACTAAAGCAAAGTGGAAAGAAGATTCAGTAGATTGGTACCTAGAGTTAGGGCTCTGTGTCACAGATCACCCTTCTCCATCCACCAGTAGAGCCACAGAGTAGGCACAAACCAGAGGCTTCTAATCCGAGGTCACAGAATAGCAGCACAGGCCCCATTCCCCATACAGATGTTTAGTTTGGCCTTCTCAGAGGTCCTTTTTTTTTTTTATCCTTCAATTACCAATATTTAAAAACAAGCATATTTGAGATAAAAATTGGAAGTTCTGTATTTTCTGAAAAATCTGATAGTATCCAACACAGGGCCTGCATTCTCACCTGCAGACAACTGACCAGAGCTGCGTACTGACAGTCCCCTCTAGGAGGCAAGGGCTTTCCATTTTCTCACAGTCTTCAGCATCCCAGCAGGAGCCCCAGTATCAGATTCCTCTGTCATCTTAAGGCCAGTGTCTGATCCCTGTTGGCATTCATGTGGGGACCACAGCCATATTCAATCTCAGTTTTTGGATAAGGAAATAGAGGTCTCTTCAGGTGAAAGAACTTGCCTGGAGTCACACCATCTTTAGAGCAGGAATTAGAACCCAAGGCTTCTGACACATATCCCCACTGTGCTGTGTGTATGTGCACGTGTGCACATGCTTTTTGTTTTTTCCTTTTTAGAGCAAGGTACTCCCTCTGTTGCCCAGATTGAAGTGCAGTAGTGGATAGTGGCTCACTGTAACCTCAAACTCCTGGCTCAAGTGATTCTCCCTCCTCAGCCTTCTAAGTAGTTAAGACTACAGGTGTGTACCACCATGCCTGGCTAACTTTTGAACATTATTTTTAGAGCCAGCATCTTACTATGTTTGCCCAGGTTGGTCTTAAAGTCTTGGCCTCAAGTGATCCACCCATCCCAGTCTCCCACAGTGCTGGCATTGCAGGCTTAAGTTATTGTATTAATAGTTGGCCTACACTGTCTTTTGTTTCTTCATTTACAAGAGGTAAAAATCAGTGAGAATGAATGCTTTCATTTAGATTCTATCATGACTGCCATGTAAATCAGCTACCTTTTCAGAAATGACATTGAAATACTGCATCCTCTTTGACTTATACCCTGCACAGGCACGCAGGGTCTAGATGGGGCCAATGATGGTTCCAGATATATATACACATGGGTCCAGGGGCAGCAAAACAGGCCAGGCTGCTGTATGAACTTGAACCTCTGCTTCATTTCTGGTCTCTGTTTTACAGTAGTGCTCACCAATATTTCAATAAATTCTGCTGAAGTTACCCTAATAGGACATTATTCACCCCCCAAAGACTTATCTCTTCACTATGACATCTCCATCCTTTATTTTTAGGAACCAGTCTTTCAAAACCAGAGAAATCAGGTACCTTCCTCAAAGTCATGCTCCAACCCAGGCAAATTATTAAATGATTGCATCTGTTAGCTGGATTAGTCTCTATGTATATTGAACTGTGATGAAAATCTATAGCTTTACTTTAGAAAATTATTATTGATGGACTATTAATATTATATTAACAATTTCTCTGTAAGGGTGTTTTTTCCTCATTGAATCTAGGAATGCTGGACTTTAAGTTGATAACCGTGTCATTTCAATCAAGTACAAGGATTTTGAGGCAGATTTTGCTAAATATCTTAGTGATCCACCACAGTGTTTTATGTAACTCTTCTCAAGAATATCAATACATGAATTATTTTAGACGATAACATATTAAATAATCTATGAATATTCATGAAAATAAGACAGTTCGAATGTTGTTTAACAAGATAGTAGCTGAGAATAACAAACCTCAAAAAAAATCAAAATAATGATTGACCTCTTTCCAAATATATCTATAGAGTATATGTCATTGCTTTTACAAAACACACTTAAGAGTTTTCTTTCTAAAAGGTAACTGAACTGAACTTGATTTTAGTGGTTCGGTGATTCCTAAGCAAAAAGCTGAGGGATTAAGAAAGGATATCTTCAAAATGAAATTTGTCTCACGTTGCTGGGACATTTGGGTTGAAAGAAGTAGAGAAGAATAATTCTTCAGGTGATGACCCTTGTTCAATGGTTTAGTCCCACCTTATCCCCCACTGTACCTTTAGATGCCTTCAGTTCCTTCGCATTTCATGATGCATTAGCTTCATTCCATTTCCCACGTCGGAGATCTCATTCTCGTCAAAAAGCCCTTTGTCAAATTTCACATAAAATAATGTTAGTCTTGAAGGATTCTAGTACATCCCCTCTATCCTAGTAAAATCTCAGCCTGCTCTCTCCAAGACCCGAAGAAACTACAGCATTAATAGCCAGGGGATTCTGCTGCAATGATTGACTCTACCATAAATCCCTTCTCTGTTTCCATGGAGAAGCTATCCTCAGCCACCCACGGTGCTGTCTATTGGGCAACACATTACCCTCAGAGGGGGACTGGGAAGAGGTGTGGGCTTGTTTTCTATAATTAATCCCTAAGAACTCTGCACCTATCTTCCATAAAGCCCTGGAGTCCCCATGTGAGTAGATTTCCCTCTTTATTCTAGTTAAAGTCTCCTGGAGGGATCCATATGGTGGTAAATTGCTTTTGCAGTTGAAACTGCTTAGGCAGCAAGAGGAAACAGTTTTCATAGCCTTGGAGAAAATGCCTGCCCTCAATAATGATGGAAAAGACTCTTCTGTTTCCAATTTATTTGTCAGAAGTAAGCGGAATTGAGCTCATTAAATACTGTTACTATAGCTGTATATTCAAAATGTCTACATATCTACATATTCAGGAGAAAAATGTCAATACCATGAGCTTTTAGGATGAGAAAATCTAGACAAGTGACTCAAGAAACTGTCCAATCAAACCTACATTTGGAAAGAAATGCAAAATAATTTATTATTGCTGAAAGAAGCTATTAGGAAGAATATGAGTGGCTTTCCTTTGACAACCTATTGATTGGACATCTGTCTAAGAAGGTTAATTTGGTGCCTTCTCTAGACATATTTCATTACAAAACAGATGGTGATTTACAAAAATGGTATAAGATATCCTTGATACAAAAAGTCATATCTTGAAATGCTTTATATTTTTTCAAAATTTGTAAATTAATTCAAGATCAAATTGGTACACATATACAAAAATCTTGGTGTAAGAGAAAGTCAAAAGACTTGGTTCTAAAAATGAGATTCATTCTGAAGTATTTTAAAACCGTATATTTTGAGCTCTTGAAATGCAGCTGATGCAACTCAGGGACTGCATTTTTAACCTTTATTAGCTTTTAATTAATTTACATTTAACTAGCTATGTGTGTCTAGTGGCTACTGAATTGGACAGCACAAATCAAGTCTCACAGTGCTTTTCCTTGAAAATAAAACCAAAATATTTTGTATATTGTCACTTGTGCCATGTTCCTGTGAGACAACATGAATCAGCCTTAACGGCTGTAAGAAATTAACAGGTATTGCTGTATTTTCCAAAGGGACCCTCTGCAGACCTGGATTATCTCTCCGCAGCTCCCTTCGCTCTCACTCCGTCCTGTGAGCTCTATCCACCTTGGTGTCCCTGGACTTTCAGCTCTGTTGCCTCGAGTCGGAGAGACCGGGTTTGCCTGCCCTGTACCATGTTCCGGAAACCCTCTAAGGTCCACAATACTGGGAGGAGCTTTACCCAGTCTTCATGACCACATTCTGGATGGCTGGATGGCTTCCTGACAAAGCCTCCTGTTTCCCTGGGTCCTGCATACATGAAGGCCCAACACCTGTACTTCTGTGGCTATTTAGAAACTCTTCCAAAAAGGACCACTTGGGTCCAGTTGCCCCTGAGGATTTTGCCCCCATTGATGGGCTGTCCTAGCCACTTTGGAAATGGCAAACAGCTTCGAGGATGAATACCGGGATCTCAATGTTGCCAGGAAACTAAAGTGGGGGTCTAACTCCCCCCACTTACTTCTAATGCTTTCAGATGGTGATTTCACTCTGAAGGTAATGTGGCGCCGTTTGTCAATTTTTAAAAGTCTATTTTTTAAAAGTTAACAGTAGAAAA